TGTACAGTTGAGATAGATAAAGATTATAATAAAGTCATAGAGAACAAGGAGAGATAGAAGAGATTGCAATAATGGAGTCAGACACATTTCATGGTAGCATGCTCACCTCATCCCCGCTTGGTGGTCCATGCTGAGACAGGAGACCAGAAGGCAGGAAGAGGGGGAGGGAGGAGGACAAGGGGAAAGGGAACAGGGGAGAGAGGACGGGGCAAGGGGGTAAGAGCGCCAGGATGAGGGAGGCCAGGATGAGGGAGGCAAGGGAGCAAGATGGATAGAGGAAGGTTATGGGGGAGAGAGGAGGGGAACGAGGGGAGAGAGCTTCTTTACTGCTAACCAAGGCTTATATATCTTTGGGGGGCTTGCATGCCTAATTACAGATAAAGGCATATGTCACAGGAAGGGTTTGCACTATAGGTAAAACAGTGATGGGAGGGGGACAACCTAGGGGTACACACACTATAGGAAGAGGAGGGATTAAGGGTATACATGTGACAAGAAGGGCGGATCCCAGATTCAGGATGGCAGTCTAACTTTGGATGTCATGGAGCAGGTTTGACCTGTTCTCTGGCTCTCCGTGGAAACCATTATCAGTAGGGTGTGAACCCTCGCCTACAGGGACCAGACCATGATCACAAGCCTTTAGGGAGAAGTAGCCCATTGTCCTTAACTGCAGGGAGTGGGCCCTACCTGTGGTGGAACCAGACAGTGGCTTAATACCTTCAGGGAAGACATCTCTAAGCATCTGACCTCCCACCACGTGCTGGCAAACAGCCTCTAATGTTTGGCATATCTTTGGGGGAGACAAAGCTGGGAAAAAGTCTCTTTATATCCCACACTATGGTATTGACGAATGTTGACAGTACCGTGGACTGCCAAAGGAATAAGCAAATCTGTTTTAGAAGTACAGCCAGAATACTCCTTAGAAGCAAGGATGGCGAGACTTCATCTCATATACTTTGGTCACGTTGGAGGAGAGACCAGTTCCTCAAGCATGCAAGACTTCATACTTGACAAAATAGAGGGGCAGAGAAATAGAGGAAGACCTTCGACAAGATGGATTGACCCAATGGCAGTACTGATGAGCTCAGTGTTGGGCCAGGTTGACTAGAGAATCAAATCCAGTGACACTCACATATGTGTCAGAAGGAGCTTTCTACCAAGAAGTAATTATGTATCAAGAAACAGCCCAGCCCAGTCCAACTCAAGTCCTTAAGTCTGATACTAGTCCCTAAGCCCCGCTCCAGACTTACACAGCCACATGCAATGATGGAGTGCAGGAAGATCACAGTGGGTGCAAAGTCATGTGCATCCAACTGCAGTTGGAATAGCCCAGGGCTCTTGCAACAATCAGGGTCAACCAGCAGGAAGGCGAAGGCAGAGAGAGAAAGGGAGGTTCCCAGGGCCCTCCTTATGAGAATGCCACGCCCACCTAGACTTGATTGACAGATTGACGGCTACCCCTACAATCAGGCTGTGACATGATGGGCAGGTTGAATACTACCTCCTACAACTTTAGATACATCTTCAAGTTGACATGAAATGATGTGACTATTACAGGCTCAAACACAATTGTGAGGATGGCACAGGGCTGGGCAGTGTTTCATTCTGTTGTTCACAGGGTGGCGATGTATCAGAACCAGCTCAGGGGTACCTGCCAACAGCATGAGTCAGACTGTACTGGATGGGCGTGATTTTCTTCCCAGTCTCAGTCTAGAAGCTCCACCTGTAACCTGTTCACTAGGGACGATTCTGTTGGTGATACTGGTGGCATACCTTCTGCCCTCACAGCAACTACAGTGGGCACACCGGCAGATGGGTGCATGCTTCCAGCCCAAATTCAGGGTGTAGCTCCAGAGGGGAGGAGGGTCTTGGTGGTCTGTTGTAGCTTCTATGAGCTGCCAGCAATCCTTGGGGTTCCTGGGCTCACAGATGTCTCTTCTCACAGCTCACTCTCCCTAAGGTACCCCCAGGACTCAACCACAACTGATCGGGCGGTGTCAACGGTGACCTCCATAGTGGCTACCTCTTCTTCTCAGCAGCCTCCAGCACGGCGGATCTCTCTCTCTCTCTCTCTTTCCCACCACCTCCCAGTCTCTCCCCTCCCCTCCCACCCCAAGTTCCAGGCCTTGGATCCCATCTGTGGCAGAGACTCGTAGTGCTTATCTACCTGCTACTTCTCTCGCTCCCGGAAACAGCCTATTCCCCAGCACTTGCACAGCTAGGTGGGGCCCACTGCCTCCTCCCTCCTCCTCCACAGTGACTCTGGGGTGCTCAAAAAGCAGCTTCCCATCTCCAGGCTGAGCGCTCCTGCAGAAGGTGGCCCCCTGGACCCCACGGTTGGCACGGTCCAGCCACAGGGGTGGTGGTGGTAGTTCCGGTAGCCTAGGTCTGCGTGATTTAATGGGGAAAATCTTCAAGAGATTTATTTATATCGTCATCTCATGTTGCTGACAACCCTCTGTTAGTTAGTTGAGCTTCCGACACTTGGTTTGTTAGTATTTTAAAGTTTCAGCCTCACCTAGCTGCTTCTCATGTTTAGTAAGATGCTAACAGATGCCACATTCCCACCTGATGTCTCTCCTGAGTCATGCCAGGAGAGGTTCTGACTCATAGACCCACCTGCTTATGTGACAACCGTGATCAGGAAACAGGTGTCTCAGAATTCAGGAGAACTCCTTGAGCTTGCCCGCCCAGCAGCCTTCCTAGCTCAGTGACCTGCCCCATCCCTCCCACCGCCGGCGCCCCAGCCCAGAACTTGGGTTCACCCTTGATCCCTCTCTCACACATTCCCTCCCCATTTCCGACCTCCCACCCACTCCCTCTCCATCAGCAGCAACCCTCCTAGCGTAGGGTGGTCTAACAAAAGTGTAACCCCCATCAGGCCCAACTCAAAAGCCCCAATCGTCTTCATGAGCAGAGAACTGGGCTCTCCATACAAACTGGCCGAC